AACTGGCTTGTCTGTCAAATTCTTGGGAGTTACATAGTCAGGTAAGACCAGATCCACAACAGCTATATGTGAACTTGTGAGGATTTTGGTGGAAGTACTGCTCCTAGCTACTCTGCTGTGCCCTTTATACCAGATGACCAAAGTGGGCACAACACAGGGCTAGATAGATGCAGCGAAAGCTGCTTGCTAGATAGACATAAGTCATTTTTCAGGACTCAAAGAGGGCTGTCTCACAAGTGCAAGCCCTACAAGTCATTAACCCTAATCTACCACTTAAGCTAACTCTCAGTCTGGATGATGATAGACTTGGTTGAGGCCTATGGCCGAAACAAGCGAAGCAGAAGCATCCTCTTGGGTTTTGGTCACAGTTATGAAAGGGAGCCAAGAGCTGGTATTCTTGGATTGAGAAATGGCAGCACTATATGCTGCTCTGCACGCCTGTGAGGGATCATGGGACACACAGTTGATTGGGTATGTATGTAGACATCCCGTTCCAGGGTGGAGTGGCACAGAACCCCACACACGAGCACATGCCTCCAACAGCAGATTTCTTTCTTGGCATATAAGTCTTTATATTAAACTATATGGTTATTAAATCATTTCTTTTCAAATTTGTTTACATATGTTTTTTCTAAGCTCTCTTAGATGATTACCAAGCTATTCATATGTGAATCATGGGAAGGAATTCGAATAATGCCTTTTGAGAATTCGTTATTGTCTTCTCCAGTAGATTTTAAAAATGAGCAAATAGCATAGGTCATATAATAAGAAATATACACTAGAGTATTAATTTCCCAATTAAGCTTCTTTATTCAAGAAATTTTTTTCACTAGCAATTTTATGCTTTCTTGTGACTAAACAAACAAAAGAATCACTCATTTCAAGTGGGACCATAGAATAATTGCAGGTAGCAGTGTGAACCTGTCACAAGACATTCAACTTTTTAAAGCAAGATCTATCAGAACATCTTCAATGTGACACATTAAATGGAATGAAGCTATGTATCTTTGGCATATTTGGTTGAGGTTGAACAAAGTGATTGTGCATGCTATAAAAGGATTTTATGGCATTTTCTGGAGCAGAGACAATACATGAAAGCATACCGTACCAAGACCCATCATTTTCTGCAGGAATTGGACACTAAGATAAGAACTAAGATTTTCATGGCCTCAGAATATGTTCCATAAGTGTTCAAAGAATGAATAAAGGGGTGGATCAAGCACCAAAATTGGAGCTTGCCATCTGTTAGGAGTTCCTGCCTCCATAGAAGAAACTCAAGCTGCTACAATTGCTCAAGTAACAAGAATGGATTGGAAGGTTCTGGTAACAGGATGATATGTGACTCACCTCTAATCAGACAACAGACATCTCCCTCATCCCCATCGTCTTAACAAAGTTATGTGCCGTCTCCAACCGTTCACCTCATCCCTGTGAACGGCGGTGCCTTGGTGCAATGCCCTCCCATAGGAAGCATGTGGTGGCAACATAGGCAGGAAAATATGAGGCAAGGCCACCAACAACTCGGCAGCTATGGGAGAAACTCAGAGCTGAGGAAACCACCTGGACTTTTTAAGAAACTCATTGATATCTTGTAACTTACATGCCATGCTAATGAAGTAATTAGCCAGTCTTTCTCCTGGCAGTTGCACACCATCTTGTGCTGCTCACAGGCATTTCTGGCCAGCCTCACAGGTCATCCATCACATCATCAGGGGCTATCTTTCATTCATGAGTAACTTGATCCATTCCCATAGTCCTAAATGCAGTGCATAGCATCAACCTAGCCAGTGGAAAACAATGCCCATCTCAAACACACACCAAGACAGCTTTCAGCTCTGCTACTTGTGCATATTCAGTGAGATCAAACCTTGGGTGAAGCCAAAATGCATCAATGCTGCTCAATGACACAAGCAAACTAAATATATTGTGCTTGACCGTGGGTATAGCAAATGCTAAAATAGGATGGGTCTCTGGCTTGCATCTAAGAGATTTTCTTGTTCAGATCACCCTATAATTTAGCATTGAAATAATCACTCGGATATTTCCAAAGCTCATGTAATTCATCCAGGCACTCTGACAGATTCTCTGCTTTCTCTCCTCTGGTTTCTTCTTTACCTTATGTTGGGCTATGGATGACACTCAGAGTTATTCAGCTGGTCTTCTGGTCTTCTCTTTTGTGCATTTTCAAAATTGACTCAGACACCTTTTCTCCTGATGCTCCTCAGTAACTAAAAATTTCCTGTCTGGAATCATTTCATTCTGACTAAATCATAACCTCTCAAGTAAACGGCTATGTTTTATTGATATTTTACAATAACAAGGGATGTTGAAAGGAATTCTGTTACTATGACAATGTAGAAACTTCACTTTGTATGGGTGAAGGATTAAGTAAATTTTCTACTTAATCTAATGAGAAAACAAAGACTGATTAAGATAAGCTGGGAAAATATTTTATTCCAACAGTAAAGTAAAAAAATAATGATACAATCAAGACAATACAGGGTATCCAGGGATTTTAAGTGGTACCAACAATAATTAAGCTATAGAATTTTGTATAGAAATTTTAGGCATTCTCACACCTCTATTTAATTGAATCTTTGCTATATGTTTCATATGAGGAATAATATACATTGCAATAAATTCGTGTGTAAAGGACACTTACTTTCAGTGAATATAGTAACAAATGGGAACAAAAGCTGTGCCTCTGACTTTGGGCTCAGTTTGTAGCCCAAGCTGGTCTCGAAATTGCAACCAAAAGCCTGCCTCAGCCTCACAAATGCTGGGATTACAGGAGTGAGCCATTACACTGGGCTTCAATTCAATAATGAAGCCAAAAAATTAATGTATTCTTTGGCCCATCTGAAATGAACTACTGCATTCAAATCCTCTTGTGAATATCAATGTGATTTTAAAAATTCTTTCTAGCTCTGGGATTTTAAGTTAAGGACTTATATGATAAGGAATATATGCCAAAGAAACTGCTTAGGTGAAGAACAACAGAGAATAATCCAGGGGCACAATGTAAGCAGCAGGAGGGGTGAAGATGTTTCTAGGCTTCACCACCCTGAAAAGCACGATTACGTGGAAGGGATTTTTGATGTGAGAGTCTCTTGAGAGGAGAGGGCATCAGGGGAGTTGGAACTCTCAGTGTCAGGGGGCAGACAGGGGAGTCTGGGCTGTCTGTCCCTTGGCAGCCAGTGTAGGCTTTAGAGAAAGATGAGGACTGGCCAGGCCTTCAGGTCAGTTTGGACAGGCAGGCTCACTGACGCACACTTGGGAAGGGCATCGGAATGGAGGAATGTGTGGGGACTGGATGCAGAGGCTGAGTCCAGGCCAGAGCCAGCTCTCAGGGAACCACGGTGTGAAGATCAGGAGGACTCCAGTCAAGGGAACCTCATGGGCAGTCCCCAGTCAGCTTGGATTCGCCCTTTCACTTTCCTTCTCTAGGCTTGCATTTTTAGAACTTAGTCACGGAGTAGATTTCGTTGCTCTAGAAACCGTTTGGAGTTATGGGAAGAAATAATGTACATAAAGGTGACACCACTGCTTCAGACTTGCCATGTGGTGCTAGCGTTAGCATTTCTCAGCCACTGAACTTAAACACTGGGAAAGGGGGCAAATGCTGGGTATTTACTATGTTACAGTTACTATGATCACCTCCACGCTATTTACACCCCTAGGAAACTTTTGATTCTTTAAAAATTTAGAGGTCAGGTAGTTCTCCAGGACAAAAGAATATCAAATTACCAAAAATACTGATAAGCAACCAAAATAAGTAAATTTTCTACAGGAGAGAGTATGTTATTTAATATGGAGACACAGAATTCACCAAGATTCTTCAAAAAGCCTCTAGACCGACAATTTTGCTCTTTCCCTCATATTCTCCAGGAAATTACCCAACATTTTCCTATACTACAACAGCATCTAGACATAATTTAGAGTTTTGCCAAGTTACACAAGAGGCAATGTAATGAACTCAAAGGCTCAGGATCTCACCTCACAGCAGAGTGTCATGAATTCCTGGCCTCTCACCTCAGGAGAAAATGCCCCTTATTTCTCAGAAACAGCCTGCACCGGTACAAAACACTAGCTTGTACACTTCCTTCCTTCAAATGCACTCAGACGGGAATGCCAATCTTTTTGTATTCTTCCCTTCTGCAAATTTACTTTTCTGCTTTATAATTCAAGAGTAATTTCTGAGGACAAGTTACCATTCCAGCCTAAATTTTGACGTTCATGTTTTCAGGGCTTGGGCAAGGCACACAAGTGTCGGAGCCTTTTCTATCCCAGGATGTGGTGAACTAAGTAAGAGCTCCCAAGATTTTACCACAATGTTCTGAAACACTAAGTGCTTTGAGCATTCTCAATGAGACCTCGCTCTCCTCTACTGTGACTCTTGTTTTGTTTGTCATGTACCAAGCTATAGCACACTATCTTGCTTATATAAAAATTTCTCTTAGACTCCAAAAATCTTAGCTCAGGGGATGGGTGATTGTCATATTAGTATTGTTACTACAAGCGAAGAACCTTCCAACAACAAAATCTTAAAATAATGATGAAAATAAGTGAGCCACTGAGTAAGATATAATTTACTATTATTTAACTTTATTTATATGCTTGTACCAGGTAAGGCACCAGGGATATCTCTTTGGACTTTACAAAAATGGAGACAATTGTGAATCAGACAAACCAACAGTTCAGTATATTTTGCTTTGGTATTACTGTTTTATTATGCCAGTTATATTTTGGGAGTTTCTTTCACACATTATAAGAGATATCTCCATTTCAAAACCATGCATTTACTCTTACACTAACAAATAAACATTTTTAAATCTGTTAAAGCAAAGTAAAATTAACATAAGTTTCATAACAACAATAAAATTGTGATGTGACCAATTCACCAAATACTCTATCAAAAGGAAAACTATTTGAAAGATTCTAAAATATAACAGGAACATAGGAATGTTTAATGACCACTGTAGCCCTGTATCATTCCCCCAATGCTTGTAAGATAGGAAGCCCCCTCAAAAATGTATTACTGTTCCTCTCACTGAGGGGTACAGTGGTTGGAAGTTACCCTGCAACTTCATGTAAGTTGGGAAGCAGGGTCACAGCTGGCTGCAGCTTTGAGTTGGGCCATCTCTTCGTCCTCTCTCAAAGCCTCCTTATAATGAGATGGGAAGGCACTAGGGACGGTTTCATTAATCTTGGCCAAAAACTCGAGGACTTTCATCTTGCTAGTCTCCACATATGCCCGTGGGCCCCACAGGAATACATGGTATTGAGGATCACTGTTAGGCATTTGAGTGTATATCAGATACTCTAACTGTACCAGATCTTTGGTGATGAGCTGTCGTGGCTCACCAAAGATTAAGTGTTCCTTCCCATCATAAATCTCCAACACAGTTAGGAAATCCCAGATTTCTTCTTCAGTGGCACAGTTGCCATTTAAGAAGATCACCCCAAGGAGAAGCATAAGGATCCCATTCACGGGGAAAGCCACGCCACTGAAGGCTCTGGCGTGGTTAGGGCCATCTGTCTTGGTGACAAGGGTGTAGAAGCCACCACCAGGCTTGAGTTCCCTAAGCTCCAGGCCGAACAGTAGTTCGACCCGATCAGCGGCCATTTTGAGGATCTCGGGGAATTTCTCCCGGAACCTTTTGTGGATGATCTTCAGCATTTCACCTTTCACCATGGGCTCTTTTATTTTATACCTGTACAGCAGGTAGTGCATTAGCAACCCTGCCTTCCTCATGTGGAGCTCTTTTACTAAGGTCTCGGGAGAGGGTGTGGCCTTAGCAGAGGCTGCCCTTTCAGGCCTCCTGCCCTTAGCTCCTTTACCAGACCTTTTGTGTGAAGATGCACCTGCAACAGGGGCAGTGGGGGACACTCCCTGCAACATCAGGGGAATGCTTGCCAGAAAGGAGCCTGCAGCATCATCCCCAGAGCCATGAGCGCAGGGGGGGCGCTCTCCCTCCTGTGCCCCAGGAGCCTGAGCTTCCTGGAGATGCTGGATCTCATTTCGGGTTTGGCGACGTTTCTCTTGAGCACGCAGCTTACTCTTATGTCCCCGGGGCATGACGACTGAGTTCAGGGACAGCAGGTAGGACTGTCAGCTGGAGAGCAGGCCTTGCTGGAACCTGGAGGAGGGAGAATGAGATCCTGTGAGTGCTTTCAGCAAGAAGATTCCACTGTGCCACTAGAGGGCATCTCACCACTGCTCTAGCCAACCTAGATTCTTCCTTCTCCTGGCCCTCAGGATCCAGTGCAGGGAGTGCTATTGTGTTTTAGGCTGTATCTCTCTGTAGGGCTGCCTTGGAGACCGCAATGTCTGACTGTGTGTTCTCCACGTGTGTGCAGTGTGCTCTCGTTTTGCACACAGAATTATCACCGCTATTCTTGGTAGGAGCTATCACGACTTTTGTTCTGCTACTCTGAATTTCAAGTGCAGTGCATCCTGCTATGAGGAAATTCAAAATGAGGGAATTTGTCTTATCATTACTCCTGTGCAGAGGCAGTACTAAAGCTTCTGTTCTCTTTGTCCTGTGCTTATTGATCCTCATTGCTCATAAAACCTACTCTCCACTTCCTCATATTTGACATAAAAAAATAACAGAAGTCTCAACTGATAACACTGCTCGGGCTTTCAGAGGAATGCCCAGCAAGAGCCATACTGTTCTTTCATTTGGTTTTGACAGAGTCATAGTTTCAGCTTTCACTTAGGTTTAGTACTTTGACTTTTTGTAGGACTTAAGGTTTCCTCCTCTCTAGAAGTAAAGAGTGCAAAGCTTCCTGACTCTTAGTGGAGGACAGAGGGATGACTGTGCCTGACAGCAGTACTATATTCTGAGTCTCAAAGCTATGGCCAACAGTTGATGCCCTATGATTTGTGTTTATATTTATGCTTCTTACTCAGTCACCAGTTTGACCTACATATTACGTCCATATTGACACATTTTAATTACTAAGTCACCCATTTCTCTGGTACTCCTGAAAAGTGTCAAGGAATACTTCTACCAGACATCAATGCCTGTGACTATCCAGCCATGACAGGAAAAGGGCTTTGTTGGGTCCTTGGTGCTGATGTTTTTGGAAATTCTTTGAATTTCTCAAGGCTGTCTCTGTGATTTTTGACACATACTGAAAATCGTCTCTCTAAGAACCTGAGGTCTTTTGCATCACATTAAGGTTATAGGCTACCTCAGAATCCCAACATCAACCAAAGTGTGAGGCACACCCAAACTTTCCTCTCATCTATAGAACCATATCCTTCTGGGCATGTTGTACTCATTTCTTACCTGGACAGCATCTGAGCACCATCATGAGCCTGTCTGAGTATTCCAGACTGATGCTAAGGCCTTTACACCTAAAAATCCCAGGGATGGATTCAAAGAGAATACTTTTGGCTATGTCTGGGGATTCCCAAGACTGACAGGCAATGAGATTTTGTGGAAGGTAATTTTCTGATTAGGTGCTCATCGAACATCTCCCTCCATTCCTGACTCATCTTTAATTAGCAGCTATCAAGTATTAATAACTACCCTAGCTCTCTGAGATTTTTAAATATGCTGAGATTATCTTCTCTTTTGGCCTCACTACAGCTCCCCCTAGTTTTCCAAGTCTGAAAACTGAGAAGCACTTCTGTATTGCCTTCACAATTATGGGATGGATTGTTCTTTCAGTTCACAGGTCCTCTCCGTGACACCTGAAACTGATTGGAAACCTGAATCTTCAAAGGTGAGATTTCTCAGTACGACAGCATTCCACAACTTCCTCAGATCTTCATGGAAGAAGCGAATGACAGTTATGCCACCACCCCTGCTCCTGCAGTTCTCAGGCACAAAGCTCTATATGTGTCATTGCTGTCTTGAAAGAGTCTTCATGTTCTCACAATTACCAACTCAACTCTTATTGGAAACAGGTTTTCTCCCAAAGGGGAAAAACGAACTCACCTTTGAATAAAATATGGGGGTACCTCAGCCTGAGAGCACTCATCTTGGCTTCTCAAGATGGAATACAGAGACAAAACTATTGTTTGTTCTGTTCTGGTGTAAAGATTCAGGAAGATGTAGACAAATGTCAAAATCCACCAGAGTTAAGGTTCAGGACTCATTTGTTTATACTGCACTGGGGTTCCTGGCCTTTAATTGAAACTCTCGTCTCTCATCAACAAATCACTGTGAATTATCAGAGTGAAGCCTCTTAGTGTTGCCCTGGGATTTCCAGAGACAGCATTATGTGCAACAATCTCCCTTGTGCACTGATTAGCCTTCATTTCCCTACTCAGTCTCTCACTTTCACCTGTACCCTTTATGGAAGTCTGTGCAGAACCCACATTACAGAGACAAATGCCAGCATATTCCTTGGACCTGAGTTGACAGGAAGTGTGAGCCACATCCTGTTAAGTTCTGTGTGCATTGAGAACAGGGATGGAACTCTCAGAACACAGTTCCAGATTTCCACTGACTCCCTCAGTGGAAAATCAAATTTGCGTTTCACTCCTGATAAGACTTGGGACTGCTCCCTCTATTGATCTGAACACAGAAGACTGAGGCCAAAACCCACATCTCCCTGAGTCACTAGAAGGAAAGCTGATATACACGCCACCTGATGATATTGGTTTGACAGGAGCAGCAAGCATTAAAGGGACTTCAGTGTTGGGAGTCAGTAATGATAAGGTCCTAACCTTGATATCCAGCAGGGTCTGAGAAACCTGTTTCTACCTCCCCAATCATCTCTAAACCAAGCCAACACATCACTTAGTCTTTCTGGAGGTAACTTGTACATAACCACAAGGTTCATTTTGCCTCAGCTTCAAATACTTGACTTGTTTCTTAGAAATGTACTAAAGGAGCAAAGGCCAAAAGGAGTGCTATCTTTCCACAGAATTAAGTAAAATATGAGATAAAGGATACACTAAACATATTATGTGCAGTAATTTCTGTTATGTACACACACATGTATCCACATGGTATTTTACATGTTAAATATATGTAATAATATAATCCCCTTATTTATGCTACATTGCGTTGTGGCAAAGCATGACAGAACATTCAAGAATTATCAATACATTGATTAAAGACAAATTTTTACAATTATAGATGGAGCAGCGATGACAGCACAACTAAAGAGTGTCCTTTTTACAACTGGGTAACTGTTTAAAAGTGGTGGCATTATTTTGAGGGACATTAATGGCAATGTGTCCTTTAGTGTAAACATTTTTTTCATTATTTAAGCATGCATCTTTTCTGTTGTTCAGCACTTGTATATATACTGGGGTGATTGAGTCTGGAATTAATAAGACCCTGCCCTTCTGTGTGCAAAATTCAATTAACAGTACTTTCAGTTTCAAGTCTTAAATCTGCAAGGCTGAACAAGCAAGTGGGGTTGTCCTGAGATTCTGACACTGACCACTTCAGGGTGAAATCCTTCTGCCCAAAACCTCAGTCTTTGTTCACAGATATATTCGACTGATTGCAGGAGGCCACCTATATGCAGGGAGGGTGATGTGTTTTACTCATAATCTAGGGGTTTAATAGTAATCACATCTTAACCAATTCCTGGCTCCCATCCAACACTGTACAACAACATCCCTGATATTTAACCAAACCATTGGGTACCACAGTTTTAAGGTAACATATGAAATCATAACTTAGAAATGCTAGCAATGATAGAGAGGAATCCAGACTTGGAAATCTAAGGTTATCTACCAGTAACTGGGACAAAACAAACTGGAAGAAATGATAGTAGGCTTGGGGGTATTACGGTTTGTGTCTAAATGTCCCCCTCCAAGTATGATGCAGTCATAGGGCTTTTTCAGAGGTGTATAAGTCTGGAGTGTGTGATGCTGGGTTTAAGGGCATGTGATTACTAAATCAGTCCACTGATTGGGTTCACATAGATCTGACTAGCATTAATGGTTTGAGTGCTGCACCTGCAGTAGGGCTGGTACGTTGCATACAATATAAGAGACAGAAGGAGTCTTGTCTCACTTCCTTTGCTGCTTTGGCCATCTTCTGTGACCTTAAATGTTTGCCCCTCTGCCATGTGTCACTCTGCCTTGCAGCCAGCCAGCCATGACCGGAAATCTCCACAAACTGAGCTAAATAAACCTTTCTCTCTTTAACTTTGGGTATGAGATATTTTGTCTGGAGTGTGTGATGCTGGGTTTAAGGGCATGTGATTACTAAATCAGTCCACTGATTGGGTTCACATAGATCTCACTAGGGTTAACGGTTTGAGTGCTGCACCTGCAGTAGGGCAGGTAGCCTGCATGCAATATAAGAGACAGAAAGAGTCTTCGTTAATGACTATTTCAAACTCAACTGTGGAAAAAATCCCACATTTCCCCTGTCTTACTTCCTTTTCTTATTGTTGAGACAAAATATTTCATACCCAAAGTTAAAGAGAGAAAGGTTTATTTAGCTCAGTTTGTGGAGGTTTCAGGTCATGGCTGGCTGGCTGCAAGGCGGAGTGTGACACATGGCAGAGGGGCAAACATTTAAGGTTGCAGAAGATGGCCAAAGCAACAAAGGAAGTGAGACAAGACTCTTTCTGTCTTTTATATTGTATGCAGGCTACCTGTCTCAACAATAAGAAAAGGAAGTAAGACAGGGAAATGTGGGATTTTTTCCACAATGAGTTTGAAATAGTCATTAAGGAATTATGTTCAGAATGGCTTTGGGGTTTTACATGTACGTAATGATTTGAGATGCTATATCATGGAGTTAGAATCAAACAATCCTTGCAAGTGCAGGAATAGATTACGTAGAGTGGTGGTACGTTCAGAGAGGAAAAGTTAAGACTTTCAATATGAGAATGTGTAGAACGTAGATTTGTTAATGAGTGAGCTGAGAAAAAGAAGTCTATTAAGGATGTGGAGAAAAGACAGTCTGATGAATAAAAGAGAAACTAGGACAAAGTAGTACCTCCAAAATTAAGGTGGAGACCACCAAATACTAACTAAATTCAGCGTTTCAACTTCATATCGCGCCACACTGGCAATGGAAAAACATTTACAACATTTGTATATAAACAGAGACATACAAAATGGAAAGTGCATGGTACTGGGTCATTTGTCAACTTGAGTTCCACAATGAAAATGTGCAAAAAATCAGTAAATTCTCTCCATCACTGGTAT